GCCCGCGCGGAGCCTCAGCGTCGCCTCGGCTCAGGGAGGCGGGGGGCGAGACTCGCCTGCTCGGGCAGCCCGCTACAGCTGGCTGAGGTGAGGAGCCCGGAGGCCAGACCCAGGTCACAGCTCAGGGAGGGTGGTAAACTCGGGGGAAGGAAGGAGCACGCGGGTGAGGAGGGAAACACCTTCATTTGTTTAAGGAAACCCTTCTGGGGGGACCTTATAGCGGCCTTCAGTGCCTGAAAGGTGCCTATAAGAAAGCTGGGGAAGAACTGTTCACAAGGGCACGTAGCAATCAATAGGATGAGGGGTCATGGTTTTAAACTAGAAAAGAGTCGATTTAGGTTGTATATTAAGAAAAAGTTCCTAATATGAGGGTGGTGGATCATTGGAACAGGTTGCTCAGAGAGGTAGTGGAGGCCCCATCCCTGGAGATATTCAAGGTCAGGCTGGATGGGCTCTGAGCAACCTGCTGTAGTGAAGATGCCCCTGCTCACTGCAGGGGGGTTGGATTAAATGACCTTTGAAGGTCCCTTCTGACCCAAACCACTCAATGATTCTATGATTTTAGCAGCCTTTCCTGCTAACATCACCTGCCTGACATTCTTGGTTGTAGAGAAGTGCTTAGCTCTTGTTTTGTATCATTCCCATGGAGGGCAATTAAATGCCTAGTGGTGGATCAGCTAATGACAGCCAGACCTGCCTGGTTTCAGGTTAGTATCCTGCCTAATGAATAAATTCCTTATTGCTTTTGTTGTTAAGGCAGTATTCAAAGGAGAGGCTGTCATGTCTGAGGAGTGCAACGATGAGTGGGAGCTGAGCAAAGAGAATGTGCAGCCCCTTCGGCAGGGCCGTGTCATGTCCGCCTTGCAGGAAGCACTGGCTCAGCAGGGATCCTCCAACCACACTGCTGTTCAGCTCAAAAAACAGTGAGCAATGTTTTGACACCTTCTTTCCCCTTGTCTGTCTGCCTCCCCATCAATTTTTCTGTCTTTTTCAACTGTACTAATCTCATAGGCATTAAAAAAAAGCATAAAACTCCAGAAGTTTAGTAGCTTATGTCTGTGCTATTATCACACTCCAGGTATTTAGGACTTGTGCTTTTAAATGTACTAATTAAGAAAAATACATAAAGGTTACCAGGAGGGGAGATTTTTTCTGTCTTTCCTACAATAATCTATTGAGGCAGAGTATTTTGTAGGAGCTAAATACTTCCTCCTGTTGTAATGTATACAACATACAGGTGTCTTTATATGTCTTCTCTGGATTGCAAAGACACCTGAGTGGGCAAAGTCAGCTTGGGTTTGGTCTGTCTTGCATACATCATCCCACAGATATGACCGTATGACTTCAAGGGGCATCTTGTGTCACAAACATACTGATTTATATTTCTGTTGTCTGATCCTCAAATTTGCATGCCCTGTGCAGACCAAGCTGACTTTGTGAAGAGTCTGCATAGCTGTGGCTATACATGCAAAAATTAAACTTCACAATACATCTGTCTACTAACAATTCTTTGTAACAGAACAAGCATTCTGCCAAGGGAGTCCGTAGAAGCTTTGGGGTAATAGACATTCTTGAAAATCTCATTTGGAAAGACGTGTATCGGTTCTTGTTAAATAATGGTACATTTCCTGGTGCTTTCATTTTGAAGAAAGAAGAGTGCAAAAACTTGTTTTCTTGATTCTTCTGGTCTCAGTAAAGGTTCAAGTCTAAATGTATGCCAACCTAGCTTTTTTTTTGTTTTTTAGTTATAGACTACACAATGGTATGAGTGAGAGTTATACACATGTATTTATTGGGTGGGTTATTGTGTTTTTTAGAGAATTTGAATCCGAAATCCGATTTTACTCTGGAGATGATCCACTGGATGTTTGGGACCGGTAAGTTTTCTTTTATTTCGGAAGAAAGAATAGAAAGGCCAGATACCCTTGTAAAAGCTTGAAAAAAGAAATATTCAAATTTAATAAGAAATTAATTAAAAGATAAATTCTATAATAGTTTTTTGGAATAATATGTTGAATATGTTGTGTTTCAATACTATGCCTGATTTTTTTTTTTTTCTAAATCTCCTTATGTTGTACAGAAACAGAAGCCTTTTATCTCATTCAGAACTGACTTCCTATAAATATGTTCCATCTCTAGGTACATCAAGTGGACAGAGCAAACCTTTCCCCAAGGGGGAAAGGACAGTAATCTGGCAGCAATATTGGAAAGGGCGGTGAAAGCACTCAACGCACAGCAGCGATACTACAGAGACCCACGCTATCTGAGTCTCTGGCTCAAGTTTGTGAGTGTTCTGTGAATGTGAATTGGGCGCTGCTTTTTCTTGGTACTTGCCATGTCATTTGCACACAGTGAAGCTGATGTTTGTAACAACAGAGGCAAAGAATATGTTGTACAACTAGTGCAGTGTTAGAAGTCTCTCTCTCCAAACACATTACCTACTCTTGAATCGCACTTCTCATCTTCAAGGGGATTTACAGACCTTTTTTAGGATTGTTTAGTTCGGACAGCTACAACGCCATGTTTTGTTTTGGAAAAGCTAGTTTGAATGAGTAGAACTTGATTATTTATTTAAGGAGAAAAGAAAGTGATTTAAAGATACATTTCAGGTGTGATTTCTGTCCTACCAGTTATTTTAACTTCTAACTGTCTTGTATCCACATCCTATGTTTAAGCAAAACCAAGCTGAGTGTGTTCAGGTCTTGTCTCCATTGCTATAGTTTTTGTTGTTCTCGTCTTAAAGCAGCTTTTCTCTAGATATAGCTTCCTGAGCTGATTTACCAGTTCTGAAACTGGTAAGAAATATGTTCTACTTTACCTAAAAATATCTATTCTCAGGAATACTAATATGACATAGTTCAATCATTGAATTATCAGATGAAAAAAATCTAAGAAATTACTGACTTAGAATATGTAGGCAAGAATTAAGATCTTAGCAATAATATTGACAAGTATATACATATATACATGCAGTCAGAGGTTTTTCTTGTTATTCTTCTATTGAATTCCTTTTCTCTGTGTACTGTGACGTAGTACAATTGTCCTGCCCTTACAGCTGCTCCTGGAAGACTTGTATTGAAATCAGTGGGGTCTTGCAGGAGGCATTAAAACATCAGCTTGGAATCCTCTGCAGTCCAGTGTGATTACTGAAATACTTTGGTTGTTTCAGGGGGATTGTTGTAATGAGCCCTTGGATCTGTACAGTTACCTGCACAGCCAGGAAATTGGCACGACACTGGCTCTACTTTACATCACGTGGGCAGAAGTACTTGAGGCTAGAGGAAGTTTTAAGAAAGCAGATCTGATATTCCAGGAAGGTCTACAGCGCAAGGCTGAGCCTTTGGACAAACTCCAGTCCCACCACAGGTAAGATTCCAGCCTAGGAACTTAGTGTAGTCTTATGTGCTTCAGTGGATGCCTGGTACAGTGGAGCTTCTGCTGACTTCTCCAATATTTTTCTCAGGCAGTTTCAGATGCGTGTTTCTCGGCAGACACTACTGGGGCTTGAGGAGACTCCTGATGAAAGAGATACGGATCTTCTGGGAGTTGCAGAACCTCAGAGAAGTTCCCTGGCAGATCTAAAAGGCAGGGGGAAGAAAAAAGTGAGAGCCCCAATTAGTCGTGTAGGAGATGCACTTAAAGGTACATTCAGTTGCTGAGACCACAATATTATTAGAAGAGTTACATCTTTTTGATGTGGAATTTGCACTTGACTGTGATAGTTTAAGGTTAATTTGCACAAATCTTTTTGCTTATAGCCACAAACCAAACCAGAAGCTTCCAGACTCTAACATCTCATCAGCTTTCAAATAATCCGGGTTTTGCTGTGTTTGATGAAAATTCAGCTTCTGGACCTGAGATTCCTGTACTTACACCACAGCCATGGACAGCACCTCCAGCTCCAAGGGCCAAGGAGAATGAACTAACCGCAGGGCCTTGGAACTGTGGCAGGGTAAGGAGTCTCAGGCAAGAAAGAGGGAGGTGTGTGTAAGCTCATGACGGCTTCTGATCCCAGAGACAGAGGTTGTACCCTTTCTCCCTTGCCTGGGGTTTGTGTCTTTGTAACTATGGATCTTCCTAGCTTCTTCCTAAAGAGTCTCTGGCTATGGGTGACCTATTCAATTTTAGCAAGCTGATATTGCCAGAACAAGTTTTTAAAACTCTCTAGAGTTCTTGAATCAAGAAATTATAATTCTTGCTAACCAGAAAAATTGGTAGAGATGGCCTGCCAAAATGTGTGGAGGGCAGAAAAGGAATATAAGGGGGAGAATGCTATCCAAGGAAAGGGAGAGAAGCCAGGCATTACTTAATGGTGTGAGAAAGCAGAGCAAGAGTTAAATTGATATTGTGCAATACAATCTGAAGGAAGAACTTGTTGCCTATCTTATGAAAATAAGGCACGTGCCGCATGCTGCAAGTCTGGTTTGAAGCGCCTGTGAGAAAAACAGAAGAGTGTTTCTTCTGGGGTTTTCTTTTTTTTTTTTTGAGTGTAAATTCCTTCTGTCTTCTCTTAAATAATGGACCTCAGAGGCAGTTCAGGGACTTTTGTGGTGTTGCGAAGGCCTCTGAGAGGAAAACTGAGAAATCTGAAGGTTCTTGGTGGACAGCAGAAGGAATACTATCATAGAGTTGGGAGTGTCTTGGCTGAAAAATGAGAGCTATGGCATTTCTGGAAAACAAACGAGGAGCAACTGGCATACCTTGCTTGATGAGCATTCCCTCAGTAACAGAAATGGTACTGATGAGGGTGTGCAGGAGGAGTGTGTCCTGCTTTTTTAGGTGTTCGTGCTCTGCTGATGGTCTGTAACTGTTTATCAGAACAGAATTAATCTTGGAAATTAATCTTGGAAAAGTCTGTCGGGCTTAATTTTTTTTAAATAACAAAAACTACAGATGAACTGAGCACTTGGAAAAATGAGATTCAGAATATTGATGAATGTAGAGTGTAAACATGAATCTTTAAGCTCGTTAACACTGACTTTTCCTTCCTCAGCGTCCGCGCAGCAATGTGAGTTCTGGGGTGGAAGTGCCTTGCCCACTGCCCAGTTTCACCCCGTACGTGGAAGAATCAGCTCAGCAGCCAGCCATGTGAGTCTTCAGTTTGAAATTATCCAAGCTGCTTCCTAGGATTCTGACTCATTTTCCCAAGTGGGCAAACTGCCAGAGCTACAAGAATTTAAAAATCTCTCAACCTGGAAGCTCTTGGTGCTTTAGCTTGATGGCAGAGGCCTCAGTGGAGGGTGTGTAAGGACATGGGAATTATTTGACTATTGCTGTTTATTATGTGGGAGCCTATATCTTATTTATATATGCTGATTAGTTTAATAGCAGTTTATGTGTTTACACAAAAACACAGTTACCTCTCTTAGGATGCTGTTTGCTCTGAAAGCAGCCATGAATTCAGACAGGCTTTTGCTGTTTTCCTCTATTTTGGGAACTCTGTGCTCATTCTATCTGGAGTTTTATTCTGAAGCAAGCTTTCAAAGTTTCCATGCCAACAGTGTTGCTTAGGTTATCGAGAAGTATGCTGGTTTGCCTGAAATTACCTTTCAGCTTGTACTGTGCTCACTGAAATGCTGATAAATCCCAGGAGATGGGGTTATTCTGTTCTGTTAGAGCAGAGGAAAAAGCATTATTTTGCGAAGCTGCTTACCTTTCTTTCTCTGTGGCTAATGATGGCCATGGAATATGTAGACTTGAAGAGAGCAGTGGAAAAGAACGTTTGATATTCGTTTCCTTGGCTCTGAGTTGCATATAGTCAAAGAAAGCTGGAAGGTGCCTGACAGCCTGGATTTTTCCTGTGGGTTTTTTATGTTGCAAGTGGACTGCAGAGTAGCTCTGACCAAGGACATATCATAATTTAGCTTAAGAATATGTAAAAAATTAAGTTTCTGTCTAAGCTATAAGACTGTTTCTAACTCCTGAAAGTCAGTGATGCCATAGAATGAAATCTCTTGACATGCTGTTCTCCCTTAGATGAACTCTTATTTTTTTATAAAAAGCAGCATCTTTTTATACCAGGGAAAAGGAAGGAATGGGTGGGAACTGAACATGGTGCTAAATTAACTGCAAGCAACGTGAGCAGAGAGTTTATACACAGTTTTATATTGTGTAGTTAGAAGTTTAAAAGTTAAAAGCAGATTAATTTTTTTTCTGCCTTTTGAGTCCATTTCCTCGTGGTGCCGTGGTCATCAGCCAAATAAAGTCTGAGTGTGTTGTGTTGGAACTGTGTAAACATATTCCTCGTGGTGCCGTGGTCATCAGCCAAATAGTCTGAGTGTGTTGTGCTGGAACTGTGTAAACATGATGCAAATCGTGCCATCAGTTGTCATCTGGAGATCTGGGTAGAAGGACCCTGTAGTGATCTTAGTAATAAGCCCCCACCACCACAAAAAAAGCTTTAAAAATCCCCAACCATTAGGAGCACCTGTTTGCCTTATAATCTCCCAGATGGTTTTAGGACTGTGAGTCCATTCACATGCAAAACAAAACAGCTGTCTTGGAGCTGTATATTGTGTTTAGCCAGACCACAGTTAGTCCATTTTTCAAGGTCAGTTGTTCAGATGATCTTTTATTGAGGTTCAGGTAATTGCTGCAGTCACCTGGATTACTGGTATCTGTGAAAGTGTACAAGTTCTGGTTCCTCTCTCCTGACATTAACATGTAGCATTTTGAGAAAGCACTTCCAAGCTCAGCAACTGACTGCTACAGACTGTTTACTCTACACTGGTGGTTTTTTGTTTGTTTTTATAATGGGGCACTTCATTTCTGTCACTCAGCATGCAAAATGTTCTCCTTGAGCAAACTCCCCTCTAATTGCATTTTAAATCTTCCCTTTATTTCTTAATCTAAAATGCCAGGCTTAATCTAGTCCAAAATCTTCCATTTTTTAGGTCCTGCTGATTTTTTTTTTTTTCCTCCCAGATAAACTGTTTTGTAGGATAATTAAGGACTTGTCACCTGTGTGGTTACACAGATGGAGCTAAAGTGAACATAGATCCTACTCTGGATTGCACAACAATTCAGAGCATCATGAGAATTCTATTTCCTCCTGATTGGGCTTTATTAAAACTTTGGGTTTATTTTTTTGTTTACACAAATCTGAGTTGGTGTGCTTGTCTTTTATGTGTTATTATGGTTTTTTGTTTGTTTTTTTCTAGCAACAGAAGAGTATGTCGTTAGACTATTCCACAACTAGTTCCTGGAATTAGCTGTTTTCTCTCCCTTGCTTGCTTTTCTGTGTTACAGTGAAGGATGTATAATCAGGGTGGTAACTTCATGTTTTTTCAGGACTCCCTGCAAAATTGAACCCAGCATCAACCGTGTTTTAAGTGCTCGCAAACCTGAGAAAGAGGAGGATCCACTACAGCGAGTGCAAAATCATCAGCAGGATGCTCAAGAAAACAAGGAGATGGTGATGTACTGTAAAGATAAAGTTTATGCTGGAGTCGAAGAATTTTCTTTGGAAGAGATCCGAGCTGAAATCTACAGAAAGAAAGCAAAAAAGAAAACCGAAGGTATGCTTCAACCTGGGATGACATAAGATTTGCTGAGATGGAATGATAAAATTATACCTGTCAGCATACAGCTGTCTGTTATTGCAGCTGCTTTTTCTGCTGGAAAAGAGAATTATCATCATTATTTGACTGCTCTGATGTACAGAGAGAGTAATGTATCCGAAAGCTTTACATGTAATCTGTGAAACCAGAGCCCCTTCAAAAATAATTTAAGCTTTAGCCAGATTGCATGTGCAACGTGGTGTGCTTTATAAGCTTTTCTTCCTTAGAGGAGATGCAGGCCATAGCACAGAAGAAGGAAGAAATACAAAAGAAAATTGAGGAGCTGGAGAAGAAATTAAAGAAGAAAGAAGATGACAAGCAGCAACAACCGCATGAACAGGTATTATTGTCGTCATTTAACTGTTCTTTTAGTAATAGCTACTATTTTAAGTAAAAGTACCAAAGAAAGAAAATATTTAATATGCTTTTATTTGGCTAACACTATAAAACTTTTTTTGAAGGGGTGCTTTAGTCTATTTTATACAGACATCACCCAGTAAATGAATGCTCAGAAAAGTATTAATTTTTTCTCCTCCACTTGTTCCCAAGCCATGTCCTTTCACAATAGGAGTGTAAACCAAAGACTTCAAGTTTTGTAGTGTTACAAGTGTTGTTAAGTTATTTAACAATTGGACAAGATGCCTTATGCTAAGGTATGAACTTCTAAATTTTTTTAAGTAAAGCTAAATGCTTAAGGGTGAATTGCTCTTTCTTGAGCTCTATTAATGTGTGGTTTGCTTTTATATAGAGAAT